CGGCGACCGAATGGAAAGAAGTCAAAAAAAGATCCATCGGAAAGACGAGCTCACATGGCCTGCTCACATAATCACATGTTCGCCACATGTCTTATCACATGTCTTAGCATGAAACGGTACCAGTTTACTAACCGTGACATGCCCCTGCAAAAATCAAGCGGGGTAGCCATTTTGGTGTCATTACAGGAATGTGGTTTTTTTCGGCCTAGAACCGTGCACAGGCAGACCAACTCTGAAAAGGCACAGGTCAAAATTAGGTTTGCGTTCCACTTCGTCCAACTCGATCGCTTTCGATCGCGTCGAAAACGAGGAAATCAAAACCACCATCTACGTATACGGGAAATGACAGTTAATATTCAAAAGTCAATTTAACTGGAAAACACAGTTAATTGAAATTAAGTATTTGATTAAGAGTCCATTAAGCATAATATTTGACTTATTTATTTGTTTATTTTTTATCATCATGAGCTATCGTGGGTTGTGTGGGTTTCATGATTCCCCTTTTAGCCTTTTGGTCAGCTTCTAACTGTTTTTTTCTGGCGCCAAAACGTTGCGGTAAGTTTTCTAGCTTTTTATGGGATTCAGACCATTTAGGAGAAGTTAGGATTGACTTTTTCTCGGAAATTGAAAGTTGCTTTAATAAAATTTAATATCAAGTGACGAGAAGACGTCATTTAAACGAATCGGGACCTCGAGAGCCTTTGCCTTGCAAAAACTCGAGACTCCGAGACACCGTATAAAAAATAAGACTGCGAGACGCACATAACCGCTAAAAAAAACGAGATTGCGAGATCCGTAAAATTCGACTAAAATATTTTTCGAGACCCAGAGTTTTTGAAGGACCATTCGCCACCCCTTGTTGTGCGTGACACGCAATGAATGACATTACTACGGTAAAGCGACTTTTTAAAAACTGTGGTGGAATTGAAGAGGGTCTGAATGGATAAACAATACTCTCCTATGACATTCATTGGCTGCAAATGTATTTTCATTTTTGTCGAAATAAAATTCGTTGACACGAAACGACAATCATTTACACTTCTGGACAATCCTTTTTCAACAAAAGACTTTTAATAACAGAATTTGTATGAGAACTCACAATCATTTGCATCATTATACAGCCATATCCGTGAAGGTGACAATCTTAAGTACGTTGAGACAGAGAGAAAGCGTTGACAGCGCCCGGTACTAGCGGTTCCTCTCAGTCTTTAAACACTTGGCGAGTTCATACTACGTACGTAAGTAGGCCTTAAGTACGCCCAAGGTCTACTTGGAATGTGAACGGGGTTTATTTTAGTTCAAGTACCTTACTTTGTAACCT